GCTTTGTCCAAGCGCCAAAGACCACGTGCTGTGCAAGAAATGACCATGTCGTATCAACCGCTTCGCAGGCTTGCAGTATGTGCGGCGTGGGATGATCCCGGTCAGCAATCATCCAAGAGCAGCGCGACGGTGTAATCTTCTCATATGCCACGAAAGCTCCAAGATCCTTGCGATCGATCGAGAGCGATCAGCGATCAGCGAATTGGATGCATCCTTCTTTCTCCTACCGTCGCAAACCAAGATGGTGCTTGCAAATTGGCGCTCGAGCTTACTTGTTGTCGGAGCCGCAGCTGCGAAAAGACACGAGCTCGATGTGACTGCATCTCCTCCTCGAGTCGGTGCGCGACACGCAGCCGCCGGCATAGCCATGCTCCAAAGCATTACGTTTCCAAGAACTTCTACGGAAAATCTGATGCTTGACGTCCACGACCGAGCCGAGCCGTGCCACGAGTAGCCACGTTGCCTCAACAAAAGCGAGGCCCTTCTCCGTTGAAGCAGCAGCGTCTGATATGACGACTACACCGCAAAGGCAGCGTAGCACGGTCAACGGAAAGCCGCTCAACTGACGTGGGCACCCGCAGAGCTTCCGAGGATGTTTCGAGACCACTTCAATCCCTTTGCGCCAGTCCGCGACGACTACTTCCTGAGACCATACCAATAAGAACTCTCTTTTTCCAACCAAGTAGGATTTGCGCACACCACCTTACTCATGGGTGCAAGCGAACCAGGTTGACGTCGTTCACGCTGTATGACCAGATGCGTCGCAGTGCTGCCACGTCAGAACATACGAGTCAAATGGCTGCATCTCAATTACGTTTTACGTTGACGCGAGGAAGAATGCATAGGCTTTGGTGCACCAGTGGCTAGCGTCGTCGTAGCCGGTCAAGCCCCACGCTGCCTTGTGCATCGCGCCGCACGCAAGCGGGTTCAGCGGCGCAACCGGCTGCGCCAGTTGTGCGCGGCACGCCGCTTCCGAGCTCGTCCAGACGCAGTCGTGGCCGTTCAGCGAGAGGCACTCGATGTCAAAGTTGAAGTTGAGGCGGATCGGCGTAAAGATGCCT